GGCTGCTGGGTGGTTGGTAAACAGCTTATTAAGGTGATTAACGCTGCAATTAAAGCTGGAAAAACAGAGGCCCGGGTGCTGGCTGAAGGTCTCTCCTTCCCCTCCCGGCCCTCTCCCCTTCCTCTCCGTCCCCTCCGGGCTGAGTTGATGCAACTCTGCTGACTTAGCCAACAGGGCTCTCACCTCGGGGTACCTGGAGCCCAGGCTGGGAGGTCAGGCAGCAGCGGGGCCTTGCTCCATGCCCAGGACCCGCTCCCCGTCTTCCTCCTAGGATCCCAGTCTCTGGTGGCTCTGCTGGAGAAGGGAGTAAGTGGCAGTGGTGGTATGGTCCCAAGGGATGGTGTACAGAGGCTGAATTGGGTGGGGTCTCAGGGACAGGGTGAGAGACCCTCCTCGTCCACCCCCCCAGGACAGGAGAGCAGGAGGAGTCTCCTCCCAAAAGACAAGGAGCTTGCTTTCCCAAGCTCAAGGTGTAGGGCAGCTCCTGGCCCACCTGAGGGGCTGAGAGCTGCCAGACAGACCACCATCTTTCTGTGACCCAGGATCCAGGAAAGGGTCCAGGGACCCCAGGCTCAGCACCTCCCAGCCTTCAGCGCTGCCCCATCAAGACCATGGGCTGCTGCTTTCAGACTCCCCCTCAAGGCTCCTTCTTCTTACCCCACTCCCTCTTGAAAAGGAAGCCACTCTGCAGGGAGGGTCCCCAGGGAGCATGTCCCCCAGACCCCTACATGTGCCTGGCATGCTTCCATCTTCTTTCAAGACATAATTCAAATGCCACCTCTTCCATGAAGCCCTTTCAGGCTTCTTTCCCACCTGCCACCAGTTGCCTCTGCCCTTTCCTCTGACAGTCTTGTCTAATCCTCCCTGACCCTGTCTGCTCTGCAGTAGAGCAGTAGAGCCCCCCAGACCAAGTCTGCTTCTGGCCCTGAAGCTCCTAGCACAGGGTCTGTGCTCCGCTTCCCCAGGCTTTGGCCATCTCTGCCTGGCATATAGCAGGTGCTCAATAAACATTGTTTGACTTTTTCCTTTTCGAGTGCACCTAGAGATGGTGGACCAATCAATCAATGTGACAAGTGCTGCCAGGGGCTGCTTCTAAACTGGGAGTGTGGAGGGTTGGATCATCTGGTCAACGGCCACTTCCATTAACTGAGCAGTACTCACCAAGTGCTGGGTATCCTGTTAAGCATTTTACTCAGATTATCCCACTTAAACCTCTCACCTACCCTGCTCGGTAGGTAGCATCATCCTTGCATTACAGGAAAGGAAGGTAAGTTTAGAAAGGTGAAGTGACTTGCCCAAGGTCACATCGCCAGCAAAGTAGGGGAAGGCAGGATTCGAATCCAGGTTAGTTGACTCTGTGTGCACATTCCTGACCACAGCATTAAGCTTTTCTTAGGACCTGCCCAGGGTAAGAAGCCCAGGCCCTCTTGCTCTAATTCTCCTCCCAAGGAAGAACCCAGGGGGGAGGGCTGTGGGGAGGGTGGTGTAGTGGGTAGAGCTGCAGTCTCCAGCTCTTTGACACTCTGTCCCAAGGCGACATAGTAAAGAGTTGCAGAAAAGCATCATTCTCTGTCCAGACCTGGATTCAAATGCCAACCTTGCCAATATCTGTTGTATTTCTTCTGTGACCTTGGTAGACACTGAACTTCTCTAGTTCTAGGTCTCTGTCCCTCCCTCCCTCCCTCCCTCCCTCCCTTCCTTCCTTCCTTCCTTCCTTCCTTCCTTCCTTCCTTCCTTCCCTCTTTCCTCCTTGAGGATGGAACCAGGACCTCTTTGCCTGCTACACACCTCTACCACCGTAGCCTCAGTTTTCTCATCTGAAAACTCACCTGCCAAGCTATGTGAGGGTCACATGCCAAGTGCCTGGCACAGAGTAGATGTTTAGCAAATGTCAGCTGTTGCTAAGACTTGGACAACGGTGGCCCTCAGGGCAGACTGGGGTTCCCTAGCCTGCCCCCCTTCTTCCCTGAAGGTTGTCACAAGGCAATGGGTGTAGTGGAGAAGTGCCGGGCAGAGGACGGGCTCAGTAGCCCATGGGCACTCTGCTGGCCCCCTCCAAGCCCACCCCCCCCCATCTTCCACCAGGTCCGGTGAAGAGGGCACCTGACTGTTGTGGAGGTGAGGAAGAGGAAGGGGAGGTCCGGGGTGGGGCTGACCCCCACAGGAGGTCACCTGGGCAGTTAATCCAGCCTGACGGAGCGGGGATGAGCAGGGAGGAATTAGGGAGCTTACAACATCCTTTCATCCCGAGGCCGCCCGCCCGCCCAGCCTCCCTCCTTCCTTCCTCTCTTTCTGCCCTTTTCCCCCCTCTCCCTCCCTTGCTGGCAGCCCAGCCCTAATAAAATGCAGTGTCTCCAGCGAGTCTGCCCGGCTGCCGCCTCGCTGCTCCTGCCTGCACGCAGCCCTCAAACCAAACTGCTCGGCTCGCCCCGCCTGGCAGCTGCCACCTTAACCCTTGCCAGCCCGCTGGCGTCTGTGGGCTGAAGCCTCTCCCTTCCGCCTCCCTCGGGCATCAGGGGAGGAGAGGGCCTGCTTCCAAGAGGGAGAGGGATGGAGTAGGCGCTGAGGTCCCCCAGCTCTGGAGCCCTGCCAGAGAACCCAGCCCTGTGTGGCTGTGACAGTCAGCCAAGTCCCCTCCATAAGCCTGGGACCCACTCTTTCTGCCTTCTCATCCTTATTCTGCTTTGTACCTTACAAGATCCCCAGAGGCCAACAGGGTGGGGATTGTTATCCCCATTTGACAGATGAGGACACTGAGGGCCTGCCTGGGAGTGCCAGGCTGAGCTGGGTGGTGTTGCCCATTTTCTAAACAAGACTTTTTCCATTACAGGGAGCCGCCTCTGCCTTGGTGCTCCTGTGCGTGTATGCGTGTGCGTGTGTCTGACATCGGGGTGACCTGAGTGTTTGTGCACCGGTGTGCTGTGGGGTGCCTAGATCTCTCGGGGTGTATGGCTTTGGATTTGCTATGTTCGTGTGATGCTAATGTGTCTCAAGTGTGTTTGTGTCTATGGCGGCGCCTACAGATAAGCCATTGGCCTCATGTGGGAGTGCATGCAAGTGTGACAAACAGAGAGATGTCACCGTGTGTCCTGGTATGTGTGTTTGTGTATCAGACAGTGAAGCAGGTCGGCAGCACGTGTGTGTGTATGTTCATACTGTCCCCCTCTGCCCAGATGTGGCACTCACACACCCCTCCATTCATTCCTGCCACCCCCAGCTCTCATCTCCAAAGCCTCCACCAATTGGGGTCTGGAAGAGGAGGGTGGCAGCAGCCCTGGCCCGGGCAGTCAGCAGCAGCGATTCTGACTGCAGCCTGAGGCCTCCCCAAGAAGGTCAACACAGTGGCCAGGGACCCTGCCAGCTGTGGGAGCAGTGGTGTTCCCCCTGCCTGAAGCCCCACCCTCACCCAAGCTGGGAGGGACAGACAGCAGGCGAGGGGCTGGGAGCGCCTGGGCGTGGAGGCAGGGGGTTTACACGCGTGTGCAAGCATGTCTGCGTGTGAGCTCAAGATCAAAGAGCAGCCCCGAGGTGACCTGGCAGCAGCGGCAGTGGTGGCGGAGGGCAGCTGGCTGACAGGGAACTCCAAGCCACCAGGCAGAGTGGAGTCAGGGAGACTGCAGCTGGCAGCCTCCTCCCCCGACCTACCCAGACTGGGGGCCGACACCAGGTTAGGAGCACCTGCCACCTGGGGCCAGGCCTGGCCCAGCTCTCTAGCAGGGGTTCTCCACAGGCCCTGTCCCCCAGGAGCCTCTTAGCTCCCAGGTTCCTCCCCATCAGACCCCTTCCCCAACTCCCAGGCCTCCTACTAGGAGCTGCCTGCTTCCAGCCTCCATTCAAAGAGTGCAGTGGTTCTTTTCTTTTTTATTAACATTATATATAAAGATGGGTCCAGTAAGAAAGCAGAAATGAGAAGGCTGGGGGGGGCAGTGAGAGCTGGCTTCGATCCTATGCCCCTGGGGTGGGACTCGGAGACCCCCCCCATTTCTCTCCTCACTCCTGACCTCCCACGAAACCCCAATCCAGCCAGAGCCCACATCCCTCTTTCTCTCAACTCGAAACACAGGGAGGTTGGAGAGGGCCACATAAATAGGAAACCGCAGTGGGAGGGGGCCGCTTTTCTCCCTTGCTCTTAAAAAAAAAAAAAAATACATACTATATATAAAGCTACAGTCTTTTACCTCTCCATTTCCTCCATGTTTTACCACATCAGAGGTATAAGAAAGTTAGCTTTGGGGGGTGCCTGGGCCAGAGAGGGGCAGTGTCACCAGCCCTCCAGGGACCCAGTGGCCCTGCCAGCCCTCCCCACTAAGGCACTGAGTATCCCCCTTCCCTTCCCCTCTCCCACACACCTCACCCTGCACTCTCCAGCTCAGCGGGAGCAATCTGTTTCCAAGGTCACCGGAAAGGGGGTGTCTGGGGGCTTGTCTTGCCTGGTATGTCTCCTTGGAGATTTGGAGTTTGGTGCCCAAACTGCCAACTTACTGGAGAAGAGGTGAGGTGGGACGGGGGCAGACGGTAGCTGAGGGGAGACCTGGTCCTATCTGTTAACAATGCCCTTTGTTTTCCTATTTTTCAACAGCTTTTAACATCGAAGTTGTGCAAAGTCCTGTACACAGAAGAAGAAATGGGTCCTTAGGGAAAACAGGGGAGACCCCCCCAACTCCCAACACTGGAGTGGGGAGATGGCTCCTTTCATGCTTCCCTTGAAAGCCCCAGATATTCAGATTCCCTCACTTGGGGGGTTTCTTTGGTTTAACCCTCAAATCCTAACCGAGGGCTAGAAGTGCAGGGTGGGGGGGTTAGGTCAGGTCCGCATCCTGAGGCCCAGTCATGATGTCCAATGTCTTTTTTTGGCAGAAAGGCCTTGCAGGAGAGGGAAGGCCCAGGTTGCTAAGGAGAAACCAGGTCTGGCAGGGGTTAGGATCCATGACACCTGGTCTCTCAGCTCCTCCACGCCCAAGGTCTCCAGTCTGGGGAACAAGTACTATTACGTCTTAGAAGGTGGCGGTGATGAGCCATTTAGAGCCAATCCAGGCTCCAGGAGCAAAAGGGAAACCACAGTCCCTCCAGGGGTGGAATGCCCCAATATCTGCAGGGGTATCCCAGTTCTAAGCAGGAGAGGGAAGTTCAGGGGACATCCTTGGTCCATGCAAATTTCACTGGAAGTTCTTGTTTCCTGGAAGAAGGGGCGGGGGAAACAGGGGCTTTGCCCCTAGCTCCTCCATGATTCCTGAGTGTCGGCTAGGACGGAGGCACCTTCTGCCTGGTCCCGGGGGTCCTTCGGTGGGGGTGCAAGCCAGATGGGTGTTCAGTACACAGCCCCAGGATTGGGCGGGGGCCCAGGGGAAGCATGGTGCAGGGTGGCTGGCTGAGGCGGCTGCTGCTGTAAGTGGGGTCCACTCAGGTTCTGTGCGTGGTACCAGGAGTTGGTAGGGTCGTCCAGGTAGCTGGGGGAGGCACTATATGGGAGCGGTGGGGGTAGCTGACTGCGGGCAGTGGCTGGAGCTGAGTGGGAAGAGGTGTCCCAGAGGGCTGGCGATGGTGGTGAGTTGCAGGCCATGGAATCGCTGTTGTTGGGACTGTGTTCGAGGGGCACCTCCCCATTCTTGTAGAGCTTCTTGAACTTGGATCGACGGTTCTGGAACCAGATTTTCACCTGGGCAGGACAAGAAAGGGGTACCTAGTTAGCCTCTCAGAATGCCACAGGAAAACCCCATAGGGAACTCAGCCCAGAGAAGGTGAGGCTAGTACCTAAGAAAATCAGGTGAAACCCATCATCCTCAGAATCCAATATCTCCCCCCCCACCCCAATCTGTGATAAAATTGTGGCCAGGAACTTTTGACTGCCTGGTCCAGGTTCTATTCTGCCACTAAGTGTGACCTTGGGCAAGTTGCTTAACCTCTCTGGTCTCACCTTCCTCTGCAAAATGGGAGTGACAGCACAATTTCCTACCTCATAGGATCATTATGAGGCTCAAATAAGTTAGGACATATGAAAATTTAGAGCAGCCTAGTATATAGTAAGCACTCAATAAAAGGAAGCCCAAGGGGGACATGGGCAGTCCTCTTTGTTTCCTGTAAGAAGGGGCAAGGGAAACAGGGGCTTTGCCCCTAGCTCCTCCATGATTGCTGAGCGTCGGCTAGGACAGAGGCACCTTCTGCCTGGTCCTTCAGTGGGGGGTGCAAGCCAGACAGGTGTTCAGTTTGTGGCATTTCGTTCACCTTAGATGCCCATAAACAAAGGTGCCCAGATACAGAGACAAACATACACCCACACATGCATTTCTATACTCACACACATGCCAGACTATAAAGCTACACACATTCATAGATACACCCAGATAAACACTCCACAGCATGAGCAGCCACATTCACATATCCAGGCTTGAAGTTATTTGGGTTCAGGCTGGGTAATGGGGGGACCTGGGGACTGTGGAGCAGGTGAGCCATGATTCCCCAAATTTCCCTTGGGGTATCTCCCCCTCCCCCTGCTGCTCCCCACCCCATGACTGGTACAAACAATGAATCAGCTTCTCTACTGGGTGACCCAGATTCCCGGGGACTAGGCCCCACGCAGCCAGCCACAACCAAGGCCCGCCTGTCAACACCTGAAGGGAGCCTGGTGTCTGCCACTCCTCCCCTGAGCAGTGACAGGCTGTTGGGGACTTTAGGGACACACTGAAGATGGGGGTGGGGCTTCCACTTTCCAGTCTCCATCTGCCTTTGGTCAGGAACCTGTCCTCTTGACCCCTGGCAGATGCAGGGTAGAGAATTTGGTTGCGGGCAGGAATGTGGGGTTTTGATAAAAGCATGCATTTTGGTATTGCTCACTGGTGTGCAGTCACATACTTGTCCTCCATTTTTGTATGCAATGACATTCTTGAAGGATCACGCTCCTCATGTGAGCATTCCCATGTTTGTGCAGACCCTGACACGTGTGCAAACATATACCCTGTACACATGCACGCCCGCACCCTTTGGTGCACCCGCCTAGTATGGAGGAAAAACACAACGTGGACTCCTATGACTTGACCAGCAATGCTGGGGACCTTGGGAACTAGGGATTCTGGGGTGCGCTCATCTCTTTCTGGGATAGATATACACATTTGCACAGGTTCACAACCATTCACACTTACACAGCATGTGCTAACGCCCAACATTGCAACAAAAGTTGAAACTTGGGAGTCCCTCGTCCCAACAGCAAGGGTTTCCCCGAGCATGCAGAGAGCTCTTATTTGTTAGCCAAGCTCGGGGGCCCTCGAGAATCCTGGGACCCCGCATGCTGCCACCGTCCCGAGACCCTCGATCTCCCAGTACCTACCTGTGTCTGCGTGAGGCCCAGCTGCGCGGCCAGCTCTGCGCGCTCGGGCAGCGCCAGGTACTGGGCCTTCTGGAAGCGACGCTGCAGGGCGGCCAGTTGGTAGCTGGAGTAGATGGTGCGCGGCTTTCGGACCTTCTTGGGCTTCCCGTTCACCATGCGCACCTCGGCTTCGGGCTCCTCTTTCACCGACACTGCAGGAAACGCACCGGGTTGGGGGCGGTTCAGCTTTGGCTTGAGACCCTAGCGTGCTCCAGAGCCCCGCGGGTCGCGGTTCCCTCTGGCCCACCGATTCGCCCTGGGATTTCCGGGCGGCGCGCTCTGCCGCCCGCGCCAGGGGAGGGAACCTCGGCCACGGAGCCGGACCGGCGGCCGCCCACGACGCGGCGCTCCCAGCTCCGCGCTTGGCCCCGGGAGCCCAGCCCCGGAGATAGCAACCGCCTGGGCGAGGACCGCCGCGGCTTCGCTCCCGACGCCCTCCCAGCTCGCCTCCCAGCCTCCAGGATCCTGCCGCCCGACTGCTGGCCGCCTCCTTCAGTCCCACCTGGCCGACGGCTGCTCCTCGCTTTTTTCCGTATTCCCACCCCGTTTTGATCTTCTATTTTAGAATAGTTTTAGGTTTTCCAAAAAGTTGCAAAAATAATGCACTTCCTTCTTTCCTTTCCCTCTTTTCTTTTTCTTTTCATTCCTTCTTTACTCTCTCCCTCTCATCCTTTCCACTGTTCTTTCTTCTGTCCTTTCGCTCTTTCTTTCCACATTTCCTTCTTGCTGTCTCCTCCTTTTTCACCTTCTCTGCTTCTCCGACTCTATTTCCCCTAATTCCTGTCGTCTTTTGCCAGGAGCCTCCACTACTCCTGGTCACCCCAGCCCACGACCAAAGAAGGGTCCCTGGAACTTCTTCCAGTCCCTGCTGCCTAGCCTCAAGTCCTCCACGACCCGATGGAGGGCCGCCTGTTGAAGTGTCCCCGAAATCACCTTGATTCAGAGTTTCCCTGACAAGCCAGAGCTCCTTGTTCTCCCAGCTCACCCGGATCCCCACCCGAGACTGCGACACTGCGGCTCCGCGTCCCTAATGCTCAGTCTCGGCACTGAGGGTCGTCTGCCCCTCTGGGGGTCATCTAGCCTACCTCCTCTGACTCCAGGCAGTGCAATTTTTACCCTTCAGGTCTAGATTTAAGTTTCCATTCCCCCGCATTTGTCTCCCGCGGGAACCTTCTAGGGTCTCCGACCCTCCCGGCGATCCCCTGGTCCTCACCTGGGTCCTGGGCAGGCAGCGGCTGCTCCCGGTACGGTCCGTATTGCCGGTAGGAGGTTCCATAGGTATATTCCGACTTGGGCGAGTAAGCGCCAGTGCCCGCGAGCCCATTGAGATTGAACTGGTGGTGGTAAGTGTAGGGGTTCACGGTCTGGCCATAAGGCTGGCCTGAGTAGTAGTCGTGCTGGGGAGCGCTGTAGTAGCCCAGGTCCGTGACGGAAGACTCGGGCAGGGTGGGCGAGTCCTTGGAGCCCGCATGGCAGCTAAGCGAGCTGGAGATATCTGTGAGGATGCTGCTGAGTTTGCGATCGAAGGAGCCACTCATGCTGGCGGGCGCCGCACCTCCTCCGGGCTGGCCTCCGCCGAGGAGCGCCGAAGTGGAGAGGAGCTCTGAGAAGTCGGAGGAGACCAGGCTGCGTGTGTGTGTGTCCACAAGGCGAGGGGAGGGCCGGGTCGCGTCTCGGGGGAGGGGGTGGCCGAGGGGCGCTCAGACCATCGCCAGTCAGTCGGGCTTTCGCTGAGCGACTCTCTTCGCGTCCCAAGCCAGAGTCAAATGCTGCCAGCTCCGCCCGGCCAGCCGGTTATAGACTCAATGTTGGAGTCGCAGAGGGAGGCTCCTGCGCGCTGATTGGCTGCAAGTCTTGCCTTAGAGGCAAAACACGCTCTCGCTCTCTTGCTCGCCCCCCCCCCCATTCTTTGTTGTTACCCAAAACGCAGGCGCGCGCGCGCACACACACACACACACAGTTGCTCCTTCTATCTTCTTAGTCCAGATAAACTCTGGGGAAGGGGTGACTTTGCAGAGCCCCAAGTATCCTTCATCTGTTTTCTAGGCTGGGGGTGGGCTTAGGTGCAATGGGGAAGGAGGGGAATTTAACCATTGGGTGTTTGTGGAAGGAGGTGGTCCAAGATGATCCTGTGTGTGTGTGTGTGTGTGTGTGTGTGTGTGTGTGTGTGTGAGCGCGCGCTATGCAAGTGTCAGTTGATGAAGTGATAAGGACTCAAGGTTCATGAAAATGTTTTAATCTCTCTTAAGATCAGAAGGAAAAAAGATTACTTCTTTTGGGTTAAAAAGATGTTTGACTATATTCATATGTTATCTTTATAGCCATTCAGTCATAAAATGTAATTTAAAAAAATGTACGGAAGCAGGGACCCACCTTGCAAAAGCACCTTGGGCCTACAAAAGTAATCATTTGGCTTTGGGAGGATCCTACAGGGGCAAGGCTGTGTGAATTTAGGGGCTGATGGGGAGGATGGGGGTTATGCTAGAGCTATCTCCCAAACTACCTGTGCACAGTTTCAGGGATAGCACAGGTTGAATGGAAGGAGAAAGGGACCTGGTGTCCCCATATGGTTAGTAAGGACACAGGCTGACTCTCTGTGTGCTTCAGGAAGTCTAGGGGCAGATTTTGTGCAGTATGGGATAGCAGTGAGGAGTGTGGGCATTTTTAGGGTTCAAATGTATGGGACAGGAGTGCTTGGGGGTGTGTTCCACAGTGTACAGGGATGTTCAGAGAATGCAGGCGTGTATGTGAGAAAGTTTGGCAGTGGAGGGTAGGGGTGGGGGGGCATGGGAAATGAGAATGAGCTGCTGTGCAGATGTGTATAGACTTCTCAGTACCTTCCCAGTCCCCAATAGGGGAAGTCATGATGCTACATTGATCTCTTTTGCATCATGGAGTTCCGGATGAAGGGTTCCCTACCTGAGAATCCCCAGAGCCTGGTCCTCTTTGGTCTACAAAGCCCAGTTCCTAGGTCATCCTAGCTGTTCCAGACACCTAGCCCATTTATTCATTCTACCCCTACTTCTGACCCCCACCTTTCTTTGGAGGGAGGAAGACCTTCTACCAATCTCACTTCTTTTCCTGCCCACTTCTTCCCCATGCCATTCTCGTGTCTCTGCGTCCTGCACTCTCCTGGCCAACGCGTGCCAGCGAGGACACGCGGTGCCAGCGCGCCACCTCGTGGTTACATCTGGGCTTGGCGCCTCCCCAAGTCCGGTGTCTAGCCCAGAACCCGGAGGGGTCTCTTGCGTAGACGGAGAAGTGTGCAGAGCCCCTGTGCCCCTTTCCAAGGCCAGAGCCCGCGGCATTCTGCTGAGGCTGGAAGAACTTTGAGAGTTGCTGTTGGCGGAGACAGAGGGTCGCGGTCGAGGCCCAGGGGCAGGAGCGAGTGCCTTCCTGGCCTGGGCCGCCCCGGGAGGCCGCCGCGTGGGAAAGGTGGGGGCGGGCGCGGGCGCGGGGAGCGCTATCTGTCTGTCTATCTGCGCGTCCCCCCAGCGCCTATCGCCAGCCGCTCTGAGCCCGTGGCGGGGCGAGTTGCCACCCGCTCTGGATGCCCTCTGTTCTGGTGCCAAGAGGGAGCCCAGAGAGCCTGCGGCGTTCGGGGCAGGAAGGGCACTGGGCGGGCGGGCTCCCCTCTGAGGGAGGATGGGAGCGGGAGAGGCAGCCAAGGCCTGCTTGGAGCCCCCAACTCCCCAGAGGGAAGGGACAGCGTCGGGCAAGCCGTGTCTCAGGTTCATTTCATTCATTCAACTGAGAGCAGAAGGAACAGGTGACTCAGAAGCCTCATGCTTTCTGCCTCCGACCCCACCCAACCCGTGGCTCCCCAGTAGTCAATGAGCTCAGCCCTGGAAATCTGGAAGCCTGAAGGGGGTGGTGGTGGTGGTGGTGGGTCGCATGAGGATAATTTCTAAATTCTGGTGTTTTTTTTTTTTTTTTTTTTGAACTGGGGATTAAACCCAGGGGCAGTTTACCACTGGGCCACATCCCTAGCCTCCTCCTGTTTTTAATTTTTTTTTTAACTTTGAGACAGTTCTCCCAAAGTAGCTTAAGGCCTCACTAATTTGCTGAAGTTGGCCTCAAACTTGCAATCCTCCTTCCTCGATCTCCAGAGTTTCCAGAATTACAGGTATGCCTAGCCCATTCAGGAAATTCTAAGAGTTCTAGAAAGGGACTGAAACTGCAACATTAGGGACTTAAAGGAACAATTATTTGGTGAAGTCATGCTAACATCTTGTCCCCCATTGCACTGCATGCCAGGGACTGCTGTTCCTGTTCTCTGCTGCCTTCCAGATCCCTAAGACAGTGCACAGTAGGTATTTGTTGAGTGTCTAAATGAGAATCTCTGACACCAAAGAGGGACTGAACCATCTTGGTGTTGCTCTGGCAAACCCCTGGCTGAGGCTGAGCCATGTCTGTAGGAGGAATGGGCCAGGCAGAAGACTCCAGGGCCAAAAGAGGAATGACTTCCTAAATGGGGCATCCTGAGTGGGTCCATTGAGGGACCAACCGGAATGGAACCACCAACAGCTGGGTGGGAGAGGTAACTGAAGGATGCAGTGGGACCAGTGCCACCCACTGGACCTCACCTGGGCTAACAAGATGAGCAAGTGTTGGCTGGAGGCCTGCCCTGGGTGGAAGGGTGAAGCAGGGCAGCCAGTGCCTCTGGGAGGCTGGTGGGAGGGAAAGAGGGCAGCGCTGGCTGATGTCCAAACAAGGTCCATTGCCCACCCTGGCTTTGGCAGGCAGAAAGGTACCTGTTGAAGCAAGCTGGTCCCTGGAGCCCAGGTATCATGCAGCCTAGGAACCATCACAGGAACTGGGCTGGCTCTGTCTGAGGGGAGGAACTCAAAGGAGGAACCAAGCCCAAGGTGAACAGGCCAGGCCTTGCTATCTCCCTTGCCCTGGGAGCTGGCGCCATCTAGTGGTCATCATGAGGCAGTGTCCAGCTCCACTGGGCAGACCCGAAGTGGGCCACCTGCAGGGGACAAGGCCATCCCTCACAGAAGGAATGTTATCTATTTACTTATTCAGTTCCATCGTCACCATCAATACCCCTTGGCTTCCCTTACCCCTTCTGACCGCCCATCTTTGTCCAGCCAGTGTTCCTTCCCTGGAGTTTCTCGTTTGTAAATAAAAAAAAGTGGATTGTTTGATGGCCTTTGAAGTCCCTTCTAGCTTTAATATTCTGATTCTAAATTCCAGGACTCTCCTGTAGCTTAAGGGTGACCTCCTCGCTATCTTCTCACCAACTCCCTCAAAGATACACTCCAGCCTCTAGCACTCTGCAGGCTGGACCTCCTTCCAGAGTCCCTCATCCACAGTGAATCCTCATGGTGCCTCTATGCTGTGTCAGACTGTGTCAGGGGATGTGATGACCAACCAGACACCTTGCCACCTCCATGGATCCCGGGTTCCAAGAGGAAAAATGGACACATAGTCAAATAGTTTCACTACTGTGTGATGTGTGCTGGGACAAGGGTAGAACACATTTCTGTGACCACCCAGTGAGGCCCAACCCTTCTCCCGTCAGGAGGAGACCTGAAATGAGACCTGGAGGATGTATGGGACTTGGCCTGGAGAGGTGGAGGGGGGGGCTCCCAGCCACTGGAATAGTCAGCTTGAAAGCTCGGGTCCCCCCTGGAGGATGGCCTGGGGACAGGTGTCTAAAGGTGAAGCGGGTGGGGTCAGGGGCCCAGAGCTCAGAACTAGCAGCCAGAAGTGGGAGATTATATAGAGGCTGGGAGAAACAATTGAAATATTTTAACCAAGGGAGATACATGATCAGATTTTCATTTTAGAAGAGTCTCTCTGACCTCAGTGTGGGGATAGAGCATTCAGGTGACAGGATTGGAGGCTAAGGGCCCATATAGGAGGCCACTGTATAATTCAAGCAAGAGGGATACATGGCCTGGGTTAAGGAAGAGGCAGGTGGTAGAGAGCAGTGATGTGAGAGAGAGCAAGGAGGTGGGGACCACAGAGCTATGGAGAGGGTTGGGTGTGGATTGTAGGGAGGGTGTTCAGGAGAATATCACCCAAACTTCTGATTTGGACAACTGAGTGGAAAGTTGAGGCCATTCTCTGAAAGAGAGAACCCTAAAAAGAGAGGATACATGATGGGAAAGACGATGTGTCCATTTTTTTTTTTTAACTTTTCACTGGAGTATAACATGCTTGCAAAAATGTACTCAAGTCATAATCAATGAATTTGCACAAATCAAACATAGCCGTGTACCTGGCATCTGGCAGAGCATTGGTGGAAAAACCTTAGCTGTACTTAGAAGCCCCAGAAGGTAAACATCAACCTTCTCCTAGCAAAGTAGGTCTATTTTGCACCATTTTGACTTTCATGTAAGTATGTACTTTTGGAGGCTGGGATTGTGGCTCAGTGGTAGAGCACTCGCCTCGTCTGTGCGAGACCCTGGGTTTGATCCTTAGCACCACATGAAAAAATAAATAAATAAGTGAAATAAAGGTATTGTGTCCAACTGCAACTAAAAAATACATTTTAAAAAAGTATGTACTTTTGTGTCTGTCTTTTTTTTTGGGGGGGGGGGAGTGCTCTGGAGATCAAGCCCAGGACCTTGCACATAATAAGCACATGTCTACCACTGAACTGCACCCTAGCCATGTATCTGGCTTCTTTGGCTCAACATTTGGTTGTAAGATTTACCCATGTTATTGGATATATTTGTAAGTGGTTTATTTTCACCACTGCATGTGAGTATTCTATCATGTAAATATGTCACCATGTGTTTGTCTATCCTGCTGTTGATGGGCATGTG